TCCTGGATCTGTACAAATGGGCCGTCAACAATCCCAACGCCCCACGCAAGGACGTCGTCGACCGCATCGCCGCCGCTACAACCTGGAAACCAACCCAAATCAGCCAGATCATGGACCACTTCCTCTTCCCCACCGTCGCGGGCGGCGCCGCAGCCTCCACCTTCCGAAACGGCGTCAGCCTCCGCAACTTCACACAGCTCATCGCCATCTCGAACCAACTCGGCGTTGACATCCCGCGCCTCTTTGCCTGGGCCAGTCCCGTGGGCACCTCCCCCGCGAGCTTCCTCAAGCTCCGCGATACCGCCGATGACATCAAGAAGGTTGCTCGCGCCCGATACGATCTCAAGACCTGGCCGGACGTCGTGAAGCCCATTAATGACATCCTGCGTGAGAACCAGCGCCAGGCGTTGGTCAGTTACCTGCTCGTCCAAGACGAGATCAAGGCGCTGAACATTACCGATGCCGATGGCCTGTTCGAGTACTTCCTCATCGACACGCAAATGACGCCCCCTGTCGAAACATCCCGCATCAAGCAGGCCATCTCCACGGTGCAAGTGTACATCCAAAGATGTCTCCTCGGTCTTGAAGAACCGTACGGCGTGCCTGCATCCGCCCTGGACAGACAGCGCTGGAACTGGATGAGCAAGTATCGCGTCTGGGAGGCAAACCGGAAGGTGTTCTTGTACCCCGAGAACTGGATCGATCCCTCGCTCAGAGACAACAAAAGCGAGTTCTTCCGCACCCTCGAGTCCGAGCTTCTGCAAAAGGACTTGACCAAGCAAACCGTCTCCGCCGCTCTCAAATCCTTCCTCTACAGCGTCAGCGACGTCTCCAACATGGTCATGATCGGACTCTGCGTCGACTACACCGACCCCCTGCAGACCATCCACCTCTTCTGCCGCACGCGTACAGCCCCTTACTCCTTCTACCACAACAAGTACGCGTCCGGGAGATGGTCCTCCTGGAGCAAGATGGCGATCGAAGTCCCCGTGTACACCGTCGAAGACGACAACCCCATGGGCGGCAGCATGGGCAAGTCCGGCGTGTACTTCGCACCCATGGCGTTCAACGGCCGGATCCTGGTCTTCATCCCGCAAATCATGAAGAAGACGCAAGCCCCTTCGATGGACAACGACACCTTTGCCTCGGGCGAAGGCAAGACTCCCAAGCCAGCTGTGGCCTTGACAGGGTGGCAAATCCAGATGAGCTGGACCGAGTATCGGAATGGCGCTTGGACGCCCCGGAAGCTCTGCCCTGATGGCGTCGTCGACATGGAACGGCTGATTGTGCTGGAGCCAACACCCTGGCCAACACCCGTCGACACGTATCATCTGATTCCCACCGAGGTGACCGAATCCGGAACAATCTCCTCGTCCACCCCCTCCATGATAAAAATATTCATGGCCAACGCCCAGGGAATCATCGGGGAGTGGCACTTCCGAGACGAGCAACTCTCCCTGGCAAACGGCACATGGGGCGGGGCAACCAACAGGCGAGCTCTAGGCGCGGGATTTCCGCTCCTCTCATTCGGATACATGACCAACGGGAGCAGCATCCATTCCCTCCAGGCTTTCCTTCCGCCAGCTGTTGGGGTGACAGACCCGTCGAAGACCACCTTTGCCACCTTTGGCAGGGCACCGAGCTCCACGCTTGGGGATTTCGGGACGGGGTCCACCGTTGCTGTTGCCGATGGGGTTTTCGCTCCGCTGTATCACAAGAACATCGGGGAGCTCATGTCGGCATCTATGTCCTCGACGCCATCTGGGAACGACACCGCCCTGTTCGAAACTCTCGGTCGATGGCGTGATGACGAGTCACTTCGCCTGCACTTTGGAAGCAAAGGCATCGACACGAACGGCAGCTTCGTATTCGACGAGCAATCTCAGCCCTTCTCGCTGTACAACTGGGAGCTAGGCCTGCACGCGCCCATGCTGGTCATCGATCGCCTGCTCAAAGCGCAGCAGTTCGAAGAAGCTCTGCAGGCGTGCCATTACGTCTTCAACCCCTTGCTCGGCAGCAACAGCAACGACACAACACAAGTATGGATCTTCGAGCCCTTCAAGCACATCCGCGGGCAGACCATCGAGGCCTTCTTCCAGTCCTTCCAGCCCGGCGTGGAAAGGGAGGACGTGACGGCCTGGCGTAACAACCCCTTTTCCCCGCACGTCTTGGCCCGCGGTCGTCCTCTGGCGTACATGAAGTGGATTGTCATGAAGTACATCGAGATCTTGATCGAGTACGGCGATTATTACTTCCGGCAGAACACGCTTGAGACCATCCCGAATGCTGTTCAGATGTACATCCTGGCGTCGCATCTGTACGGACCCCGTGGGCAAAAGGTGAAGAGGGAAGGAAAGGTCAAGCCGCACACCTACAACAGTCGTAAGTATCCGCCTCACCACTCACTGACGTTACCCGAAATACTGACCCGTACAGTCCTCAACAAGTTCGACGCATTCTCCAACGCCCTGGTGCAAATGGAGGAGACCTTCCCCTTCAGCAACCCAACCCCCCTATCCGTCGGAAAACTCCCCGACGACCCCGAAGTCCAACTCGCCAACGTCTTTGGATTCGCCGGCGCACTGTACTTCACGATTCCCGACAACCCGAACCTGCGCGCTCTCGGCGAAAAAATCGACGACCGGCTCTTCAAAATCCGTCACTCCCAAGACATCCAAGGCATCTTCCGCCAGCTCCCCCTCTTCGAACCCCCCATCGATCCGTCCCTCCTCGTGCAAGCCACCGCCCAAGGCCTCTCCCTCAGCAGCGTCCTGTCCGACCTCAACGGCCCCATGCCCAACTACCGCTTCCTCTACCTTTTGACTCGGGCCATGGAGATGGCCGCAGAGGTAAAATCGCTGGGCCAAGCCCTCCTCTCCGTCAAGGAAAAGGAACAGGCGGAGGCGTACTCGGTTTTGCGGGCCTCGCATGAGACAGCCGCGTTCGGATTGGCAATGGACCTCAAGAAAATGGCGCTCAACGAGGCAAACAGCAACCTCGAGGCACTGCAGTACTCCCGGAACGGACCTGTCAACAGGATGCGGTACTACCTGCAGCTTGCGGGGGAGTCCCTTTCGGCAATTCCGGGTGGTGATGCCTCGTCTGAGTTCCAGGAGCTGAGTGAACGGTTGCAAGTCCCGATCGACCAAGGCGGGCTGAAGTTGCTGGCGACGGAAAAGGAAGAAATGGATCTCAGCGCGGCGGCGCAGACAGTAACGACCGTCGTCAGCGCCTTGGAGGCTCTCTCAGGGGTGTTCAACGCGCTCCCCACCATAGGCTCCCACGCCACGCCTCTAGGCTGCGGCGCCGTCTTCAACTGGGGACCTCCCAACGTCGGCGCCGCCACCTCCGCCATAGGGCGCGGCATCAGCATGGGCGCAAGCGAGCTGACCTTCCGCTCTGGAGTCGCCGGCCGCAAAGCGCAGGCTCTCCGCGCCCTCAACGACAGACTCCAAGCAGCCAACGCCGCAGGCTACGAGATCTCGAGCATCGACAAGCAGATCATCGCCAGCAAGATCCGCGTCGCCATGGCGGCCAAGGAAATCGACGCCCAGCAGAAGCAAATCGACCAGGCGAAGGAGGCCGAGGACTTCCTCCGCCACAAGTACACCAACACCGAGCTGTACACCTGGCTCGCGGGCGAGACCAAGACCGTCTTCTACGCCACGTACACCGCCGCGTACGACCTCGCCAAGAAAGTCGAAAAGACGTTCCACTTCGAGCGGCCGCAGATGGCAGGAACCTCCTTCATCCAGCCGGGGTACTGGAACGCATCCCGCGATGGCTTGCTTGCCGGCGAACGCCTCTGGTGCGCCCTCAAGCGCCTCGAAGCTTCGTACATCTCGAGTAAAGGCCACGACTACGAGATCGTCAAGAACATCTCCCTCCGCCAGATCGACCCGCTCCAACTGCTGCATCTCCGCGAGGAAGGCGTGGCGCGCTTCGCCGTGCCGGAAGTCCTCTTCGACATGGATTTTCCAGGCCACTACCTCCGACGCGTCCGCTCCGTAACCGTCACCGTCCCGTGCGTAATCGGCCCATACGCCTCCGTCAACGCGACACTCCGCCTCCTCTCAAGCCGCTACCGCACCACCACCTCCCTCGAGAACGGCTACCGCGAGACCATCTCCCCTTCCTCCCCTCTGGACCCCCGCTTCGCATCCACAAACGTCCCTCTCACCGCCGTAGCCGTCAGCACGGGCCAAAGCGACGGCGGCGTCTTCGAACTGACCTTCTCCGGGGACCGCTACCTCCCCTTTGAAGGCGCCGGCGCCGTAAGCGAGTGGAAGTTGGAACTCCCGCCCAAGTCGCTGCAGACCTTTGACTACGGGAGTATCTCCGATGTGATCTTGACCATGCGGTACACCAGTCTTGAAGGCGGTGCGTCGCTTCGAGCCGAGGCGGTGAAATCGGTTGAGGACTATGCGAAGCAGGTGAGCGATGCGAGCGATTCCGGGAGTTTGAGCGCGTTGTTCGACGTCAAGAATGAATTCGCGTCAGCATGGAGCCAGTGGACGAGCGGAAACTCCGGAGGGAATCTAGAGATGGCGGGGCTGCGCGACAGATTACCCATGTTTGCGGTCGGGAGGGCGCCCGGGAGTGTACTGGCGGCGCAGGTGTATTTGCTTGTCGACGGGGTGCTTCCAAAGGGCGAGATCCAAGTTGGCGCGGATGGAGTGTCGGGGAGGCAGTTGACGACTGCTCTTGCGAGTCAGGATGGGGATTTCAAGGGGATGGCTGGGTATGCTTCGCCGGCGGGGCTGGCGCTTCCGGTGGAGAATTGGACGTTGAAGTTTCCGGAGGGGGCGGTTGATGTGAAGAGGATGTGGGTTTTGGTGAAGTATTTCTTGAAGTAATCCTGGGTTTGCGGGGCAGATTGTAGGTTAGCATGAGTGGGTAGACAGTAATGATAGGAAGAAATTGACCAGTTGACTGTGGTCCACGATTCTGCACCAACCATCATGTCGCGCAATTCCCTCATCGACTTCCATCAAATAACAGCCTGGTTAGCTCAGCTGGTTAGAGCGTCGTACTAATAAAGCGTAGCATTTATTAAGTCCTAAAACGCAATGCGAAGGTCAACAGTTCAATCCTGTTACTGGGCAATCCCATCTTTTTGCATCCCCAATGCTTATCCGTGATCCACAGTTCAGGGATGGTGATGAATAAAGTTTTGCAAGCAGCTTCAAATCCAAGACCATCAGAGCTGTTGTTCAACATGGAAAGGAGTCATGATGGCATCGTGCTGATATGTCATCGCACCGGGATTCGGTATGACGGAAACATGCGCTGGCGCCATCTACAACCTGAAATGTCCCCGATACGATACTGCGCATCATCTGGCCTCTGCATCTCTTGGCACCTGTATGCCGGGGATTGAGATGCGCGTGGCAGACGACGGTGGTCTCGAAGTTCGCGGAGACGTCGTTTTCATGGGGTACTACCGCAATCCTGCTGCAACAGCGGAAGCGTTCACCCCTGATGGCTGGTTTCGCACCGGTGACCGGGCCACCATTGACGCATCGGGTCGTCTTCGCCTGGCGGGCCGGGCCAAGGAGGTCATCAACATCAACGGCGTCAAGTTTGAGACCACCGACGTACAGATGGCGGTCGACCAGGCTCTCGGCTCTCTGGTGGGGAGGTCTGTTGTGTTTTCGACGCGCCCGCCTGGCTCAGCTACGGAGCAAGTTGTTGTGGTGCACGTGCCCAGGGCTAGAGTGACCGAAGTCAATACTGGGAGCAACGAGTCCGAGATTTTGGCCATCGAGGACCGGGAAGTGAGGGCTGTGCGTTTTGAGCACGGGTTCTCGCCCCTGGGTCTTTGCATTCAGCCCTCAGTCTGCCTCCTCTGACGACTCTCGGCAAGATTTCCCGTGTCAAGCTGCGCGCTCTCTTCGATGAAGGTGTGTTCTCAGAGGACTTCGAGAACTACCAGACTGCACGACAGCGGCGCCTTGCCGCGAGTACCAACAGCGACCCCCCTACGGATTCCGAGGGCGATTCTCGAAGACTTTGCGGCAACGCTACCAGCCGCAAAGGAGGATATCCAGGGGGTTGACACTTCCATCCTTTCGGCCGGATTCACCTCGATGGACCTGATCCGGCTCAAGCATCGTCTCGACCAACGGCTCGGCATCTCGGTTTCCGTGATCGCACTGCTCCAGAACCCAACTGCACGATCCCTCGCCAAGTCACTCGAGTCACAGCTGCGCCCTGCCCAAACACCAACAGCTGCCGTGGAAGATGCATCCAACAGTCGTACAGCTTCAGAATATGATCCTGTCGTCACGCTTGTTCCTCCCCATGACGCCAGCCAAGACAACACGGCCAACAAGACGCCCCTTTGACTAGTTCAACCTGGTGTGGGCGAGGTACTGATCTTTCTCAATCTTGCACATCATCTCGCAACACTCGAGTCCCACGCCCGGCCAGTCTACGCCCTACGCGCCAGGGGCTTTGAGCCCAACCAAAGCCGCTTCTCCAACATCTCGGAGACCGTGTCCGCATACATCGCCGCCATCCGCTCGCGCCAGCCCCAGTGGCCCTACGCCTTGGCCGGGTACAGCTACGGCACAATGCTTGCCTTTGGGATAACCAAGGTGCTGCAAGAAACCTCGACAGTCTCCTTCCTGGGCAGCTTCAATCTCCCTCCGCACATCGGGCACCGCATGCGCCAGCTCAACTGGAACATGTGCCTTCTTCACCTCAGCTACTTCCTCGGCCTTACCACATCTGATTACGCCGACTCGATCGAGTTTTCGGCACCAGAATACCGAGTCTGTCCCGCTCCGTGGCCCTTTCTCAAATCCTCGACGCCTCTTCTGCTACTCGGCTTGCCTCTCTCGGACTCACTCCGGACGCCCTCGCCCGATGGGTGGACGTTGCTTACGGCTTTCAGAGCATGGCGGTGGACTATGAGCCGCAGGGGAGGGTGCGTGGGGGGATGGATGTGTTCCATGCCATCCCGCTCCGCACGGCGGCGGCATCCCGTGAGGAGTGGCTGGAAGTGCATTTGAAGAAATGGAACAACTTTGTGGGCCCGGTCACACAAGAAGGTGCGGGGGGAGTGCGGGGAACATTACACTATGATTGGACCCGAGTTTGTGGGGTCGTTTGCAGGAACTTTGGTGAAGGCGTTGGCGCAAAGGGAGAGGGAATGTCGGAGGCGGGGGTTGTGAGACGGGCTGGTTGGATTTGCAGTGGTTGCTTGGTAAGGCAAGGTAAGCACCCAACCAACTCGTCGGGAGGATGCCTTCCGCGCCTTCGTCCGTGTGCCATGCTGACTGCAGTGTAGGAGCAAAGTGGACGGCAACATTTCCTTTGCGGTTGCGTGTTTAATCTGAAATTCCATAACGTTGGTTATTCATCTATTGATAAACATTATTCATGTTTTGGAAATTTTGTTGATGCTTTCATGGGGCGCAGCCCCTGAGACTCGGGTTGTGGGGGCGGCTTTTGGGTCTGTGTAACCCCGGCAGGCCCGGTTGGTGACAAACGCACATACAGTTCGGCTGCATGAAGGGGGGTCACAACTTACACAAGTCGTAAGTGATACCAGCACAGGTGTTGCTTAAATGGGCTGGGAGGCGGACCAAAGGATCCCACACACTAACAACACCACCACCAAGACACCATCATCTCACCTCAACAAACTCTCAACATGACTGACTCCGCTTTTGAGCAAATCAGGGCCGTCGCAGCCACTGCCGACGAAAGCGAACGTCGTGCCTTGGTCGCCTCGCTCCGCAATCTTGCCTCCTCATTTGAAGACGCCGGCGAGATAACCCACCGAATCGGATGTGCAGCGCTCGAAACGGCAGCTGTCGAGATCGGCTTTGACCTGGGTCTTTTCAAACACCTCGTCGAGGCCGGCAGCCCAATCAATGTCTCCGACGCCGCCTCCAAGTCTAGAGCCGATCCCGCTCTTGTCCTCCGCATCTTCCGCTACCTCGCCGCCATCGGCACCGTCTCCGAGACTGGTCCGGGTCAGTTCGCCGCGAACAACGTAACCAACACCCTCGCTTCCGACATGGGCGTCGCCGCCGTCCGTCACTACTTCTACACCGCAACGCCCCCCTACACCATTCTCCCCGCCTTCCTCAAGAAAACCGGGTACAAAAACCCCTCCGACGATCTGCACTCCCCCTTCCAAGACGCCTTCCACACCTCCCTGCACCCCTACGCCTGGTTCGCCGATCCCGCCAACGCAAAGAACCTCACCTACTTCAACGACTTCATGGCCCTGCGTCGCGAACCCGACCTCTCCTGGCTAAGCGTGTACCCCGTCGAAGACATGTCTGCCAACTGGCCCGCCGATCAGGCCATCTACGTCAACATCGGCGGCAGCATCGGCCACCAATGCGCCCAATTCAAAGCCGCCTTCCCTACCCTCCCGGGCCGCGTCATCCTGCAGGACCTCCCGCATAGCATCGCGCACGCCCTGCCCACACCAGGAGTCGAAAACATGGCGCACAACTTCTGGGATCCGCAGCCCATCCGCCACGCCAAGTTCTACTACATGCGCGCTGTTTGCCATAACCATCCCGATCACAAGGTCCTAGACTTGTTGAAGATTACCAAGGAGGCAATGAGCCCGGAATCGATCTTGCTGCTCGATGAGATGATTCTCCCCGAGACGGGTGTCCACGCGGAGAGCGCGGTGCTGGATATGACAATGATGACTGCGTTTGCGAGCGCCGAGCGGACGGAGGCGCAGTGGAGGGTGCTGGTGGAGGGTGCGGGATTGAGGTTGGTGAAGACGTACGTGTATAACAAGGCAGGGTATGAGAGTGTGATGGATGTGCGGCTGTAAGGGTTTCAGCAGCAGTTGTGTGAGGATGGGGCCCTCTATGATAGCCTGGTATATGAGCTTCATCTCTTGGTGCCTCAACACTTGTGATGCGTCTGTGTGCCCTGTCTGAGCGTACGTTCGGTTGATCCAAATGCAACGTTTCCGTCGATAAATTAATAAAGATGTTATCGTGATCCTGTTCCCCCTTTTGACGCGCTGCTCGCACCGTGGTAGTCGGCCATGGGCTCGTCACGAAAGCTTTGACGGTGGTCAGTCGCTCAGCAGCTAGGCAATCAAGCTCTGAATCATGCGTTCGATGTTTCCCGCCTCCGACCCTACCCCTTGGTGGAGTTGGTGCATGCATTAGGGGGTGATAATCAGTCACCATCCGACCCGGTATCCTCGCCGATGTCCAACATGCCGGTTCATTCATCATCGCTGCGTTCGATGTTCCCGAGATGACGAGGTGCTGTAGGTTTTGAGAAGGCTAGAGACTAGGTAATAGGAGGTGTGCAAAGTTTTCGTCGGGAAAACTCTCGGCCCGGCAACTCAGATAAAGGGGTAAATGTTGAACAGTGGGGACAATGTGGAGGTAAGTTCAAAGCTTGTTCAACCTGCCATTCTGCTAATCACAGCTATAAAATTGCACTTGTGTCCACCCTGCCCGAGTTCCATCCTTCATCCTCGGCTGTCTCCAAAGCAATTCGCATTTTCTTTTTGCACCCATCTCACTCTCAGGATGGCGGAAAACGGTACATTGCCCGGCCTGGCTCAGGATCCCAACGGCATGCACCCGTTCGCCGTCCCAATGCACCACAACGCCATGAACAGTCCCATCTGCGGCCTCCCCGACAACATCCTCCACCGCATCATGGGCTTTCGCAGACCCCGCCGGCCTGCTTTGCCTCCGACGCACCAGCCGTATCTTCATGCGCTTGTTTTCCGACCGCCGATTCTGCAGCCTGCACGATGAACAGCCAAAAAGTTTGTCGTCTCGGTGCCATCGACCGTCCGGAACGCCATGGAAACGCGAGCGAGTCCAACCATCGTTGCGCGCCCGGAGCTCAGGCTGCTCCTCCAAAGAGACATGTGCTGCGAGACATGCCGGGACACCAAGGGAAAGAAGAAGAAGTTGAACTCGTCAAGAGAGGCAAACGCAAAGCGGTTGTACTACTGCTCCGGTTGCAAGACCAAGCATCCCGCCGCGCTATTCTCCCATCGCCAGCGAAACAACCCCGAGGGTGATGCGTCTCGTATTTGCATCGGCCGGGAAGGGAATTCGAGGTGCACGTGCAAACCCCTGGCGTCGGGCTG